GAAGAACCGTTCCATTCGGGCACTGGGCTCGGGCCCGAAAAAGTCATTCCATTCGGGCCCCGAAAAGATGGCTGGTGGACACAAATGTGCAGATTGAAACGGTGGCCTCCAAAGAGCCCCTGGAGAAACATCCACAGCCAAGAGCCCCGGGCCCCGAAAAGTTGTTCGATTCGGGCCCCGATTCGGGCCCCGAAAAGCTGTTCCATTCGGGTCCCGGATTCGGCCCCCGAAAAGTCGTATACCATTCGGGCCTCGAAAAGATGGCTGGTGGACACAAATGTGCAGATTGAAACGGTGGCCTCCAAAGAGCCCCTAGAGAAACATGCACAGCCAAGAGCCCCGGGCCTCGAAAAGTTGTTCGATTCGGGCCCTGATTCGGGCCCCGAAACGCTGTTCCATTCGGGTCCCGGATTCAGACCCCGAAAAGTCGTATACCATTCGGGCCCCGAAAAGATGGCTGGTGGACACAAATGTGCAGATTGAAACGGTGGCCTCCAAAGAGCCCCTAGAGAAACATCCACAGCCAAGAGCCCCGGGCCTCGAAAAGTTGTTCGATTCGGGCCCTGATTCGGGCCCCGAAACGCTGTTCCATTCGGGTCCCGGATTCGGGCCCCGAAAAGTCGTATACCATTCGGGCCCCGAAAGAATGGCTGGTGGACACAAATGTGCAGATTGAAACGGTGGCCTCCAAAGAGCCCCTGGAGAAACATCCACAGCCAAGAGCCCCGGGCCTCGAAAAGTTGTTCGATTCGGGCCCCGATTCGGGCCCCGAAAAGCTGTTCCATTCGGGTCCCGGATTCGGGCCCCGAAAAGTTGTTTGATTCGGGAATCGGGGCCCCGAAAAGTCGTATACCATTCGGGTCCCAGATTCGGGCCCCGAAAAGCTGTTCCATTTGGGCCCCGGGTTCAAGCTCTAAATTGTTTTCAAGCAAAAACTATTCGTGTTGGCTCCGAAGACTTGTTCGGCCGGGTTCAGCCCCGAAGTTGCCGGGGCTTCAACAATTCAATTGCCGAAAGGAGCTCTGGCGCCTCTGGCAGGCATGGCTGGCCTTGTGATGTGGAAGGTCTGAGAAACACATGAACACGCAGTGGCTGTTGAAACTCACGCGGGCTCCTTTTTCACACTCTCAGCTTTCCCCGCGACATGTCAATTGCATGTCTCCCCGACCATGTTGCTACTAAGAAGCAAGCAGCAATTGCAGCTTGCAAAAACCACCGTTTGGGAAAACAGCAAGGCATCCAACTGCGGGGGCGCAGTTGTTTGAACACCTGATCCAATCTGTACTGGAGTCAAAGTCGATCAGGGCTGAACTGCCCCCAAGCCAGTGTTGTTTGGCTTCCGGAAGAGGCATCCTCGGGGGATGGCTCAGTTGTTGCATCGCAGCTGGGCGAGACATCAGGTTGCTCGGAATCTTTTTTCTGCTGCCACTTCCTTGCCAGGACCTGGGCCTCTGCCCAAGCCACTGCGACAAGCCCTGGCATAACTCGCTCACTCAGTGGCAAATCGTCGGCACGACTCCAGGTCCAGGCGGACGCGGTTGTGGAGGGTGACCCCTGGCAGCTGACGTAGGTCACTGCGTGGCTCGGCCGGTGGCCCGCAACAGCTCCTGGTTCTTCAGCCACATGCCGTTGTCCAGCCTCACCCTGTCCGGCTCCACTTCCGCCACGGCCACGAAGACTCCCTTGGGTATCTTTCCGCCGGCCCCGATGAGGCGCAGCCCCGGCCACACCCTCATGCTCTGGGGGCTCAGAGGTTTGCGGCGCCAGGGCCCGGTTCGCCGCTGCGTTGACGGCCGTGCGCTTGCTGTGGCTGATGACCGAGGGGTAGAGCTCCTTCAGCCTCGCCTTGGCCTGCTAAAGCGTGGGGCACCCCTCCTCGCCGACCCGCAGCCACTTCACGAAGTTGAAGATGCCGGAGTCGGAGCGCATGTTCTCCGTGATCTCGACGTGACGCAGGCCATGGCCTTCGAGGCGCTGAAGGCCGACGGCCCCGCGCGCTGGGCAAGTCGGCCGCCAGGCCAACCACACGCCACGCCCCTTCTCCTGGGGCCTGAACCCCGTGACTCTGCCTCAGTCCCAGCCGAACTCCCGGGCAAGCTCGCGAAATCCGGGCAGTCCCGCCAAAGCCGCCTGCCTCCGCCGAGCTACGACCAGCTGGCCCGGGACATCGAAGCGGCATAAAAAACTATTCTCGTACAAACGTCCAGTAAATCTTCGCCGTACGAGTGAAAATGCGTGTGTTTCAAGAAGCATGGAGGTGGTCACAGCCGGAGCACATGATGAGCTGATGCAAAGCCTGGACTACAGACTGAAAACAGCAACACCAACTATGTGACTGCGCGGCACGACGTCCAGTATTTCCCCAGCTCGCTGAGCTCCTTCTCCCCAGCCACCTCGAGGGTCTGCCGCATCCTGACCAGCGGTACTTCGTTCATTGACCCCGAGTCGATCAAGATCGCCTTCAGAATCAGAAACACGGACGCCACCAACCCGCTGGCGCCGGCCACTCCGAACCCCGCCTGTTTCGGATCCAGATCTTCGCCAACGGCCAGCGCTGCGACGACATTAAGTACTATGGCCGCACCGTGGCCGTCCTAGGCCGTGGAGGGCTTCGACGAGGTGAACAACTCCCGGACGCCCCGGTGCACCAGAGCGGCTACGCGGACGTGCTGCTGCGCCCCACCATGGTCTCGAGTTGGAGTTTGCCGATGCCACGACAGCGCTGTGGTCCGAGAACGAACGCCGGGCGCACCCGGCAGGAGCTTCGAGATTCAGAACGTCCGAGTTCTGACATCCCAGGTCGTTTTAGACTCGGCGCTCGTGGAGTCGTTCAATCGGGTGCTCCTCTCAGGAAGGTCGCTCGTGTTCAGCTACCCCACGGTGCACACACAGCAGTCCACGGCGCCGACGGGAGTGGCGGAGCACAACGTCACCGTCGCGCGCGCCTTCACGAAACTGATGGGAGCGTTCGTGACCTTCTGGGATATCGACGGGCTCGAAGATCCACTTGCTGGCCAACCCGGGCAGGACGTGGCGCCCATCGGCGCAGCCAGGCAGGAAGACAGCCTCCTGGGCAGCCTGCAGTACCCGCACAACCCCATGAAGGGAGCCTCGGAGCACTTCCACTTCCTCTCGGTCCTTGCGGGGACCTACGACAACACGGTGCGCAACATCGACAGCGACCGTGCGGGCTACCTGCGCCCAGCTTCATCGCGGGCTTCCCGCCTGAGCGCGTGCCCAAGCCCCTTAGTGGCGTCAGCACCCGCTCGGGCGACCTGGCTCGGTTCACTTTCAAGGACTCGACGGTACGATGACGTGTTCATCCACTTGATAGCCTACCAGCTGGTGACGCTCTCTGGCACGGGAGTTTCTGTGCTGGACTAGCAAGGCTCCATAGCTCAATCGGAAGAGGCGCTGCAGCTCTGAAGCTTGGAGGGCGCGGGCTCGATTCCACCCTGACGCAGGCCCAGGCGCGAGTAGTAGCGCTGGCCCGCCCGGGTCAGCTGCCCGTCCGCACGCGAGAGCGCGTAGGCCCCCGGTCCGCGCCGCATGTTCAGCACGACGGCTCCATCCGCCCCCGTGCGAGCCCGGGCGCCGCCGTCCGCGGCCTCCGTGATCTGTTGTCGTTGTCTCCCCCAACTTGCCATTCTTTTTTTACGGGGCCAGTTTTTTTTGTTCGGCCGCGCCGCGCGTTTGCTCGGTGTGCGTGGTTTTGGCACGGCGTGGTTTTTGCATGATTTTTTCATGTTTAGTTGACACGACAAAGGTTGACGTGGAGAACGTGTCTTCGTCGCAGCACATCGGCCCGGCAGCAACAGCAGCAGCAACAGCAGCCTTTGGCTTTGGGATCTTGGCTCGGGTAGGGCACGAGGATCTTGGCTTGGGTAGGGCACTTTGATCTTGGCTCGGGTAGGGCACTAGGCTTGGCTCGGGTAGGGCACAAGGCTCCGGGTAGGGCGCTAGATTCTCAGCTCCGGGCGGCATCCAGCCTCCCCAGGACTGGTCCTGTCCAGGAAAAAAACAGACGAAGATAAGAAACGGTGACGATCTGAAGGCCTCCACGAAGTTGCCTTGCCCCGACATGGCCGCGGGCCGGGAAAAAAAAGGCGTCCCAAAAAAAAATGCCCTACCCAGAGCCTGAACCTTGTGCCCTGCCCAGAGCCTGATCCTAGTGCCCGACCCGGACTATTCGAGCTAAGATCCTAGTGCCCTACCCAGAGCCTGATCCTAGTGCCCTACCCGGAGCCTGATCCTAGTGCCTTGCCCGGAGCCTGATCCTAGTGCCCTACCCGGAGCCTGATCAAAGTGCCCTACAGTGCCCTACCCGAGCTAAGATTAAAGCGCCCTACCCGAGCTAAGATTAAAGTGCCCTACCCGAGCCAAGCCAGTGAACTCCGTAACAATAACTATTGCCGCCATTGTCCAACAATGAGTGGCAATAGTTGTAACATGAAATTATGATGTTATAAAGCTATAACTGATAGTTCTTGTAACTTTCACTTGAATTTAGAACTTATAACTTAGAACCTTATAACTTAGAACCTTGGAACTTAGAACCTCTACTTCTGGAACTGAGAGCTTAGAACTTAGAAATATTTTGTAAAAGCCTTACAACTACTATTTCATCGACGAATAACTCCGTATAACTTGTAACTCGCAGCTTGTATCTACTTGCAACTTTAACACTCTTATAGTACTGTATACTGTACACTTATAACTGTAACCGTACTGAATCGTAACTCTGAAGAATCATGAATCATAACTAAATCATAGTCTGAGTCATAGCTTCATTCATAGGCTCATGACTCATAATTCATAACGATTCATAACTCATCACATAACTCATAAGTTAAATCTGTAATCTGTAATCTCTACAAGGATTGTCTGTAATAGCAGTAATTTACTGCAATTTAGATTATATTGTCTGATAATATTTAGTTATAACTTAACTATATTTTAATTATGTTTTTGCTTCAATTACGTTTCCGTGCCTCGCCCAGGCCCGCGGCTTCAACCCCAACACGACTTTGGTGGATGTGGCCAGCGCCTTGGGCGCAAGGTGCAACTCGCCTCGTCATGCAACTTTACGATCCTGCAGCATGCTTGATTGTTTCTTGCATTTTCTACTGCTGCACTGATTGTTGTGCGTTGTTCGGCTAGTTAGTCGGTGTGAGCAATGTGAATCATGCGACTTGTGAGTCATAGGCATAGGCTGCCGTCATAGGCTGCTATCATAGGCTGCCTAGGCTATCAGGCCATCAAGGTTAGAATCATATCAGAATATCATGATTCGTGATTTATGACTCTGACCGCTAGACATATGTGAATCACATGTGTCACATGAGTTGCAAAGGCTGCGGCTTACCGTTACCTGCTTGGTGACTCAGACTTTGTGGCTAGTGTGCAGCTTTCGACAGTTTCAAGTTGCGTTAAGCTGTGGTGTGGACACTGTGTGCTGTGTAGTCACTAATCTTAGGTTTACCAAACGATCCGGCACTAGGGATTCATTGAAAGATCTGTGATCTGTTGCTACTTCACTGCTGCAAGTTGTGGCAGTTTGTGACAAGTTCAGTTCTCTTTAGATTGACTACAGACTTCTACACAGTGATAGTGATAGTCTAGATAGTGCTATAGTACTACTGTACTGAGCCAACTGAGTCATAACTGAAATCATTGAGTCAATTGAACAATTGTGTCTGCAACACCGTTATTTTACTTCTCCCTGGTTGGCGTGAGTCAGCGCGAACTTGCATGTTGGCCGTGCAAGGAAGCGCTGTGTCCGGCATGGGCCAGTGTTGCGACGGCTTCGGCGGCGCGTTCTCGTGTCACATGAAGCTCTTCCACCTCGGCGAGCAGAGGTGGTGCCCGGCTCAGGCCAGGTTGGGCCCGGCCTGTTGAACTTTGAACATAGACGTAGACCGTCTCCGTAGACCGTAGAACTTTGCTTTGCGCTGTTGCGCTGTTTGTCAACGGATCCGATTGGCATTGATTCGATTCGGCATTGTTGCTTTTTTGTCGGATGTGCCTTGATGGGTCAGTGGGTGGATGACGTCGGAGGCCGTCGGAGTATGATTTGGGTCTTGTGACTTGTGTTTTGAAAAGGATGTTTGGCCTGGCCAGGGCCTGGCTCTTTCACTCAGACAAACTTTGGCCTGTGGCTTTAGACGTCGGGATGGTACATTCAGCGATTTGAATTGGAGTCCACGGCCATGGTCCATGTCTGGTCCATACATACATGTTACTACTATTACTACTACTACTACTACTACTACTACTACTACTACTACTACTACTACTACTACTACTACTACTACTACTACTACTACTACTACTGTATGATTCATACAGTATTCATACAGTATTATTATCAGTATGACTCTGACTCAGTATATACATTGATTCATAATACTACTACTAGTAACTACTAGTACTAGTAGCTTAGCTAACTAGTAACTACTAGGACTAGTACTGACTAGTACTACTTACTAGTACTACTAGTCTAGTAGCCTAGTAGCCTAGTACTGGTACTGTAACTTGTACAGCTCTCAGGTACTCAGTGCCAGTACCAAATTCAATTCAGCCCGTCAATCCCGCATCCGTTGCGCCTTGCGCTGGAGGCTCTTCTCAGCGGGCAGGGATTCGATCCCAGGGACTTCACCTGGAGTCAGTCCACCTACGGCAGCGCCAGCCGGTTAGCAGGACACGCGTGTCGGGGATGGGGCTGGGGCCAATGCCACGCACCATCATGACTTGACTCAAATTGACTCTCTAATTGACAGTCATGTTACGGCCCATGATATAGATAACATGGTAACATGGTCCTGGTTCATCCCGACTCCATGATTTGGAATTTGCAGTCCTTGGCCTTGACCTTGATCATTTATCCACGACTGGTTCGGATTCCGATTCCTGATGGATTGCTTGGCAGCTTGACACTCGTTGTGGAAACCGGTACAGTAGCTGCAGTAGACACAGGCATGCTGAGACACACGCGCGGTTTACGGACATATGACATACATATCATACATACGTTACATACGGCATACCGTCATCCGCTTACACACAGCACGCAAATAATAATACTTCCGGATGATTCCTTGAAGACTGATTGACACAGCAGCTCAGCAGGTTGATCCACAAAATGTTACTTGGTGCAACAGTGCTTTTCACTGGCGGGCCACTGGTGGGTCTTTGCTTTGTTTGATGTTACTGACGGACGCCCCCCTGGACGGTCTCTTCAGGGTATTGATTTGAATCATTCGATTCCTTGACGAACTTGGCTTCGCCGTTGGTCGCCGCGTTGCTGTGTCAGTTTGGCGTACCGGCGTACCGCACATTGCCATTGTTTAGATTCATTATTCATTGTGAACTGTTGGAAGCTGAATGATGTGAAGTCATGAGTCTGACAGTCACAGTCAGAGTGTTTGGGTGGCCCTTGATTGGTCTGGTTTTGAGTTGCAGCCAGCAGTTGCAGAATTTAAGAATTAGTTTACGGATACGTTGGTGAGAACGCGTAGGTTCGGGGTAGGTGCTGAGTTGACTCTTTGAGCTTGGTGCTTGGGGTCTCGAGTGGGAAGAGGAGTAGTTTGAGTAGGGTCAGGTCATAGGTCAAGGCAGCCGTAAGCAAGTCAAGGCTTGGCGTAGGCATAGGTCATGGCTGCAGTAGGCCGTAGGATAGGATCGGAGTGGAGACAGTAGCAGTAGGTGACCTGTCCGGGGCTCATCATTCAGCATTCAGAATTCAGAACTTCGATTCAGAACCCAGAACTTGACATGAGTTTACTAGAGTTGAGATACATCATGAGTTGCATTGAACTACAGGCAGAGACGACCTTTCGGCCTTTCGCCTAAGCCCGAAACCGCTTTAAGTTGCTTTTTCCTCTTCAGATTATTCAGATTCAGAAAGGCAGAAAGGCGCTTGGTCACCACAGTTTGTTTGTCTCCTCTGTCAGAGCACCACGAATCGTTGCACTGGTACCGCACTTGAAGCGGTGGGATGTAAGTTGATAGTAAGTAAGATTCTTTTTGAAGCCAACTTGCCAACTTCCATCCGAGCCTGAAAACATTCATTGATGATCGGTGTGTGTGAGTCTGAAGCAGGGTGCCTTTGACTGCATGTTATGTTGCAGCATTTTGGCTGCAACTGCAACAGCGCTTCGGCTGAGCTTTGCAAAGGCTTTGCTGCAATGGCCACTTTGCAACTTTCGGCAGAGGAAGTCGGTATGCTTGCACGATTCCGCATTCGGAAGCGCAAGCAGGCGGGGCGCCAGGAGGTCTTGGAGGAGGAACAATATGAGGAAGTCGAGGTTGAGGTTGACGAAGCCCCGCAGACGCACCTGGCGAAGAAGCCGATTGTGGTGCCACCAAGGAAGCGTGCGAGGGCGCCGGTGCTGCTGCCGCAGGCCCCAGGCACAAAAGCCAAGGCTGCCAGCGCGATAAGGCAGGTGATGCAGCCCATGCCGCCGCAGATGCAGCAGATACCGCAGATGCAGCAGACGCACATGGCCCCGCCGAAGCGGCAGATGCCCATGGCGCCGCAGATGCAGCAGATGATGCCCAACGATGCAGCAGATGCCCAATGAAGCCCAGGCGCCGCAGATGCAGATGATGCCCAACACGGCCCAGGCGCCGCAGCAGATGTTTAATGGGGCCCAGATGCCCAAGCAGATGCAGATGATGCCCAATGGGGCCCAGGAGCAGATGCCGGCGCCGCAGATGTACAATGGGGGGGAGATGTCTCAGATGATGCTCAATGGGGCCCCAGCCGCAGCAGATGCCCAATGGGGCCCAGGTGCCGCAGATGCACACACCGATGCAGCAGATGCAGCAGATGCCCAATGCGCCGATGCAGCAGATCCAGATGCAGATGACGCCCAGGTGCTGCAGCAGATGCCCAATGCGCCGATGCAGCAGACGCCCAATGGGGCCCAGACGCAGATGATGCCCAATCGGGTTCAGGCGCAGCAGATGATGAATGGGGCCCAGGTGCCGCAGATGCAGCAGATGGTCAACGGGGCCGAGGTGCCGCAGATGCAGCAGATTGGGCATGGGGCCCAGATGCAGCAGATGATGCGCAATGGGGCCCAGGCGCCGCAGATGCAGCAGATGCCCAATGGGGCCCAGATGCAGCAGATGATGCCCAATGGGGCCCAGGCGCCGCAGATGCAGCAGATGCCCAATGGGGCCCAGGCGCAGATGCAGCAGACGATGCCCAATGGGGCCCAGGCGCAGATGCAGCAGATGACGAGGCCCAGGTGCAGCAGATGCCCAACGAGATGCAGCAGATGCCCAATGTGGCCGGCCAGGCGCAGCAGATGCAGCAGATGATGCCCAATGGGGCACAGGCGCCTATGCAGATGCAACAGAACGCGGAGAGGGACGACGAGGTGAAGTCTGCAGTGTCCGACTCGGAGGCTGCAAAGCGACAAGATGACGGACTACGTCCCGACAGAGGTGCCTTCCGATGAGGACTAGCCGGGAGGGCAGCCGGAATAGCGGCCGGAGCCAGCCTCGCAAGCTGCAAGCCCTCAAAACTAGGAGAATAACAAAGTTTCAGGTTCAAATCAATGTTGTCATTGATCATGAGTGGACTCACCAATGCCAATCGATTTGAGCCAGAGTCTGATCACTGCAGCTTGCCGGCTGGCGGCTGGCGCCTTTTTTCCTGCCACTGCGAGTGGTCCAATGGTCCACTGCCACTGGCTTGGGCTTTTCTTGTGTCCGGACTCCTGCCACTTGATCACCTCTATGATGCCCATGTATCGTTTTGCTCTCGAAGTTGAAGGTGGGAATATGTCGTTATTTCGGTCGTCAATGACTGCGTCGATGTCGACCCATCCACCTTCATCGCATCTGAAAACACTTCCTCGGCAATTGCCGATTTTGTGTCGAAGGACTCTGCACAGGTTGTGAGATAGCTGGTTTGCTTGATCTCTCGTAGCAAATACCGAGCGATCGTCGCCAATCTTGCATAGTGGAGCACCGTCAAAGGGAGTAACGCAGAAATTGACGCTCTTGCCGAGCTGCATCACATCCACTTGTTCAAGGTTGGCACCCTTGGGAAAGTACATGGGGTCAACAATAGATGCGTACGCCCATGGCATATGCACATCGCTCACGTCGCCGAACTTCGGGATGTAACATGGGATGGTGTCACACCCTCGCTCTAGCGTCGTCTTGAACGTTCTGTTGTCCCCGCACGGATTGTAGGTGAGGTCCACGCCACCGCATTGTAGCTCTCCTCCCTCAGCCGTGTCAGCCATCTCCACCAGATTGATGGTATAGCTATACATTTCTATTATCTCTTTCCCTTCTTGTCCTCCTTTCTTGCGTTCCTTGGACGTCGATGAGAACGGTTCTCCCGTATCCCCCATTTCTTCATCCGAGGAAACATGATCGCTGCTGAAAAGCTCACGGATCTTCTTCATCGCCTTCTCATTCCCAGCAGCCTCCTCATAGTTCTTGCAGTCGCCGTCGTGGGCCATGTTCGCGCATCTCATGCAAATTCCCATCTCTCCCATGCACTTCTCCATTGAGACCAGGAACTCGAGTGCAGCTTTCCGCCCATCGATCACTCGCTGCTTCTTCTCTTCTTTCTCAACGTTGGGCTGAGAGCTTCGGCTCGGGTCTGGCACTTGACCAAGACCGTCGCCTTCACTCCCTGTTGCCTTCCTCTTGGATCCTTGGGTGGCATGCTCGGTCGTCAGGGATCGCGGATGTCTGGGCTTGACCATGTTCATGATGTCCAACACTTCTTTCGTGGGCGCCCCAAGCTGGGCGGATGGTTTGTTCCGCTTTCGGTTCTGGCCCGTCGTGTGGCTCACGTTCCCGGCGAGGTGTCGTACGATTGAGTGCTCAAACTCCCTCTTGATCTTCCATGCATCTTTCCACAATGGAAGTTCGTGCTGAAAGTACGACATCACCTCAAAGAATCCCAATATCATCTCGACGACGTCCCCCAAGGGCTCCTCATTCGTAGTCTGTCCCAGGAGCTTTCTACATCGTCCCCTGATCAAGCACGCTCTTGATCCAGGATGAATAGGCCACGTTGCCAAGATCCTTGTCTATCACAAAGATGGAGGTCCTCTCCTCAACTCCCTCGGAATTCTTCCGCGTGATCGCATCCCGGGATGCACACAATTGCTTCCCGTGTCCGTTGTTGTAGAACTGTGCTGCCTGATCCACTGTCATGCTCACGAAGCCCACGTGGGATAGCTCTTTCTTCAGCTTGGAATATGCAAGTTCCCGTATAATCGTGGTCATGGCCTGAACATTGTTGACGTCCACCATGAGATGCTGAAGATCCGGGATCGCAATCACGCATTCTGCGAAAAGTCGCGTATACAGCTTCCTCCCTTCAGTTGATCTCACAACACCGTTCGTGTCCGCATTCCAGTTCGCGCAACAGTTCACGCAAGAAGTGGGATTGTACTTTGAGTTTGACCCGAGCACCTTCGACTTGTTCATCTGCATCTCCTTCACGCAAAGTTCGCAGATTAACTCACTGAGCTCGGTGACCGTATACCATCGAAGACGTTGATCGCTGACATCGATGTTCCCAAACGCATCTCGTCCGCCGTGTCCTTCATTCTGCCGTTCTTGTCTCCGTTTCGATTGAGCAGTGAAGGCCATGGAAAGCTACGTCGCGATTCACGCGCACCACAACCAAGCCCTTGCACGTGATGACG